ACACATCGGACACTTCCCAAGTGTCTAGGACAGTGTGATGTATCGGCGAATAATGTGTGCAAATCCCAGTAAGGTGGCCTTCTGCAGCTGGCAGATGGTAATTTTGTCAGCGCCAATTGTGTTTAAGTGCAGGCCAAGGTCTTTAGGCACTGCACCCAGTGAGCTGATCACCACTGGAACCACCTTTACTGGTTTGTGCCAGAGTCTTTGCAATTCGATTTTTAAATCTTCATTTCGTGTCAGCTTTTCCTGTTGTTTCTCTGCAATCCTGCTGTCACCTGGGATTGCGACACTGACGATCCATACTTTGATTTTTAACATGATTGTGAGGTCAGGAGTATGCTACAAAACTCTGTCTGTCTGAATCCGGAAGTCCCAGAGGAGTTTGGCGTGTTCATTCTCTGTAACTTTTTCTGACTTGTGATCCTTGTGTTCTTTCTTGCAGGCAGATGGTGTTTGTGGCACAAGTTCTAATGAATCACCTGAGCAATGGTGTTGTGCCTCTGCTTGTAGTCTGTCTGCGCGATCTTCTTGCAGCAGCTCAGGATGTGATCTATTGTTTCATCTGCTTCCTTGCAGAGTCTACATTTGAGATCTGTTGTCGACTTTTCAATTCTGGGTTTGATGGTATTGGTTCTAATGGCTTGTTCTCGGGCTGCCAGAATCAGGCCCTCCGTCTCCTTTTTCAAAGTTCCATTTGTGAGCCACAGCCATGTTTTTTCTTTGTCAATTTGGCTCTCAGTTTTTGCCAGAAACTGTCAATGGAGAGCTTTCTTTTACCAGTTTTCTCCTCCTCCTCCTCCTCCTCCTCCTCTTCTTCTTCTTCTTCCCTCCTCCTCCTCCTCCTCCTCCTCCTCCTCCTCCTTCTCCTTCTTCTTCCTGTCTGTCACACCTTCCTTCCCTAGCCTCACACTGAATCTTCACTATACATATTTCCTCCATTTTTATGTTACCAGTTCACCTCTCTCCAAATTCCCCTCCTTCTCCTTTCCTCGCCACACTCCTTTGCCATATCACCCTCCCTTATTCCTTGCATTCCACCGTGTACCTCTCAGCGCCCCTTTCCCCATTGCTTCAACTTTTGCTGCCACATTTTCTTGTGCTTTCTTCACTCAGGCCACTGCATTTCCCATGCCTCTATTCTTTCCTTAACCCAATCTCAAACTTTCATATTTTTCCCCTCCCTTGTATTTCCCCATTTTGCTCTACCTTAAACTTGTGTAAGGCTTACCTCACTGTTGAACCTCCTAGTCTCAAGTTATGCTCCTGCCCATCTGTTACCTAAAGGCATGGTGATTCCATAAGATGACCAATGTTGCTTTAAATAGAAGGCAGGCAGATGATACTATCACTGCTGGAGGGTGAGGTACCAAGGGAGAGTGTGATAAACCAAGAGGAAGTAGTCACAGGGTAGTAATGGAGGAGGAGGAAGGTGGAGGCAAGATGTTGGTATTCCCCCAGCTCCATAGAAAGCATAGGAGATGTTATGATGTATTTTGTCATCGTGTGTTTTTTATGTTGTATTATTTTGGGCTTGGCCTCATGTTAGCTGCCCCAAGTCCCCTTTGGGGAGATGGTGGCGGGTTATAAATAAAGTGTATTATTCTTATTCTTATTATCTTATTATTATTATTAGCTGCATATGATTCCAGAACCAGATGGAAATATGTTAAATCATTCAAAAGCAAGTCAGCAAACGAATAGAATCCATGACACTTTAAATACCAATAACTGACTTGGGTGTGAGAAGCTTTTCATAGGTGTTTGCCATTGTTGCATCCTCCTCTTGTTTCTTCTTTGTGTCTCCATTGCTTATGTACAGTCTTCATGGGGAACTCTGTAAAACAAACTTTATCAATTCTTTTCCCAGTAATAGCTAAGCTTTCCCATTCTTGAACTACTACATTATAATTCTGTTAAAGAGAGAGTCTAGTTCTCTGTATTTTGTTTGGTAACACTACTGCCAGTCCACCTGAAAGTAACCTTTGGCCAACTCTATCATGCTAACCTACAGGGTTATATTTTCTTTCATTAGAACTTGAACTTTGTACTTGTCTTGGCCTTCAATCATTCACTGTGTGCTCATTGGATACAAATTAATGCATGTTTTCTGTTTTGCAATCTTTTTTCTCTGTGTAATCTGGGAATTGAATGTTGGCAGATTGCAAACAAGCCTAACGATACATTTAATGACATAACTGTGAGTCGACCTGAAGATAAGTGGAGTCATTCGGCTATAAAATCATTCCATTTGTCAGCTCTGGAGCTTGTTTTTCCTGTCACTACCATCATATTATTGCCCTACAAATGGGTAGCTTTTTTCATGTCAGGAGTGACTTGAGAAACTGCAAGTTGCTTCTGGTGTGAGAGAATTGGCTGTCTGCAAAGACGTTCCTCGGAGGATGGCCAGATGTTTTACCATCCCGTGAGAGGCTTCTCTCCTGTCCTCACATGAGAAGCTTGAGCTGACAGATGGGAGCTCACCCCACTCCCTGGGTTCGAACCACCAACCTTTCGGTCAGCAGTCCTGCCAGCACAATGCAATGGTGCATAACCCATTGCGCCATCCGAGGCTCCTAAAAGACCCATAGAGACATGTATGTTTTGCTATTGTGAGATAATTTCCAGACCTTCTTCCTCCCAAAAAAGAAACACTCAGCAAGCTTCTTCAGTTATAGTGATATATTTAAAGGAGCAATCCTTCAAACATATATTGGGAAGTCTGAAACTCTCACAACAGCATCCCATCCAAGATTTCTATGACTTCTTATAGCCTGGTGTTGAATGTGGCTCATATTCAGCTATAAAACTGTCAGGATTTCACCTCGGAGTGTTGACAGCTCCAACAATCAGCTTATTTAAATGTCTTTATTAAAACGATGTTGTAGTGACCAGTATCCTCAAAACATCATATATATATATATATTTGTACAAAGTATAGAGATCTATAGCCATTCTTATTATAAATGTTAAAGTTATCAGTAATTGATTGGTCAAGATTGGACTGGCTTTAGCACAGCAGGTTAATCACCAGCTGCAGCTGCAGTAAACCTTGCCAACTGAAAGGTTGACAGTCCGAAGCCGGGTCAGGGTGAGCTCCTGACCTTAAACCCAGCTCCCTTGCCCACTTAGCGGATCGAAAACAGCAATGTGAGTAGATAAATAGGAACCGCATTAAGTGGGGAGGTATTCTCAGCATGGCGTTTTGGAGGAAAGTTTATTAACAAAGAAAGCGCTTCAGGAAGGAGGTGTAGCAACAGCACCCCCTTGTGGCTGGAACTGAGCACAGCCTCCATAATATTCTGAATGATGAGAAAAAACCTAACTATATCCTCTATCTGTTGTCTGTTTTGTCATTTTATAATTGGCATTGAATGTTTGCTGTATATGTGTTCTGTGATCCATCCTGAGTCACCTTTGGGGTGAGAAGGACGGAATATAAGTACTGTAAACAAATAAATAAAATAAGATTGTTCATTCGTGTTGTCTATTCCATTCCTGGTGCAAAACTTGCATGTCTTATTTATATGGATAATACAAATCTATTTATCTATCTACTTACCTACCCATCAGTGATTAGCTTAACTACTTGATCAGCCTCAATAAGTATTTCTAAAATTAAAGAAGTCTTAGAAGCACTAAGTACTGCATTGCCAGATCTAAATTGTATTAAGTGTTGTAAGTATTTCCATTTGACTAAATGTAGTTAGAGTCGATGGATCTTGCAAAATGGGAAATGATGGAAACTAATCACCAACACTTGGTTTATTTTATTTATTCATTTACCTAATAATAATAATAATAATCATCATCATCATCATCATCATCATCTTTATTTGTTACCCCACTACCATCTCCCCAAGGGACTCGGTGCAGCTTACATGAGGCCAAGCCCAAAGTACATCAAACAAAACATCAATAAACACAACATCAATAAACAATCAATAAAATACAAATAATATAAATCACATAAACAAAAAACAATCAATAGTGATATAAACAATTTTAAAAATGGCCAGGCCAAATGTAATAAATTAAAATTGAAAATATGCTGATGTGAACAAGGTAAAATATAACTAGGATAGGATTTTTCTGAGAGAAATGAGGGAACACAGTCCATCCTAAGTCAGTATTAAAGTGCATTGTGAGGACATATTGCTGAAAGTTCTCCTTATTCTGGGAAGGCACAGTGGAACAACCACGTATACCATTATTATTTATTAATAATTGGTTTAAATTAAAAATCACATTTTCTGCCCATATATTCCATAGAAATTGCACCCCCCACACCCCAAAAAGCCCTTTTAATCAGCATTTCCCCATCAAATCAACTTGGGGATCAAATTGACTTTGGTCAAATGGTGTCATACTTATCATTCAATTTTAAATCAAGACTGGGATGGTTATTACAGATTTGATATAAACATCAAAAGTATTCAGCACGACATGAGCACATGGAGAGGGGTGGTGTACTCTTCCCCTGCATGACTTATTCCAAACTGATGTGTTTGAAATTTTAGAAATAACAGGGGCAGATGAGGTGCAGGTGAGTCTGACAGATTATTTTCAATGCTTGTTTACTTCAAAGATAATTGAATCTTCTTGCTGCCGGTTTGAGTCCCAGTAGCTTTACATTTGCAATGTTCTGCCTCCTCCTGAGATTAGAGAGTTTCCATCATGTTTAGCTTTCAAGTACTGTTTGAAAGACACATTTGCTTGGCTAGCTTTCATTTAGTGTGCCTTCCCTTCATTCTTTGTCCATCAGAACTGTTGGCACTGTCTGTCTGTTTTTATTGTGGTGTCCTTTTATTATATGTCAGAACGCCTTAGTGGTTACATACCTGTCTGGACTTGATCACACAGTGGGCCTTTTGAACTGGTGCATCAGTGATGGGTTGAGACTGGTGCTGAATTGAAAGGCTACAAAACTGTTAACTGTTTCTCAATTTTGTGCATACTTTGAACAGTGATGTTGTGTTTGCTGTGCTTAGTACAGGTTGTGGCCCTACTCTTTCCTGATACTATGTTTTCTTTTGCCCTCAATAGGTGAGACTACAGTCAAAAACAGTTGTGCTCCCTTGACAATAGTGAAACTAGGCTGTGTGATGGACATGTGAAAGCAAACTAGAACAGAGCTTTGGACTACAACGCCCAGAATTCCTGAGGTGGGTCACTTGCTATGCTGACTGGGGATCCAGAAGTTGTTTGAATCAAATCAAGAACAACGCAGCTCTTTGTCACTCTGGGCGGTTCCACACAGCTGAAAAAATATCCCACATTATCTGCTTTGAATTGGAATATGTTGTTACAGTAGGTTGTCGCAGGATCAAGTGTGTGTTAAAGAAAAATCTTATGATGTTAATTATGTGCAGCTGGTAATGTAGGTCAGCTAGCATGTTTGGGCCACACCCGGTGGGATATAACTGTATGGATTTTAGAATACAGTTTGGAGAAGTAATACACTACTCTGAGGAGAAGCAATATGCTGTAATGCTGCTATGTTCTAACAGTGATGCTCTTTGTCATGGTGAAATAGCTATTTACTCAAGGTTTATGCTTTCTCATTTGAATGAAAATGAAGAAGCCTTGTTCTGTATTACTTACAAGGACTGTGTAAGTTTATTGCACTGTTTGATTTTGTATGCAACACTGCAAGTTTATGCCTCTGCTGATAAGCGTAAAGTTTTTTGTTCCTTTTTTCCTCTTGCCTGTTTGTGTTTTGCATGGGACTTGGCTAAAACTTGGCTAAAACACGCTCTGTGCAACATATGTGGTAGTGTGGACTCAGATAATCCAGTTCAAAGCAGATATTGTGAGATTTTCTGCCTTGATATTTTGGGATATATGGCTGAGTGGAAGGGCCCTCAGACACCTTGAGAATAAGAGAAAGGTGGCCTTATCCAAGGAAGGAAATGGAAGAACAATACATATGCAGTCTCCTCAAAGCAAAAGGCCAAGTCAGGTCAGGTTCTGATCTCCCTTTGAAAAGTGTAAGCTTAGTATCATTAAATAAAGCTCTGTTTTCCCCTTGCTTTCCCTTGTTCCCTAAGGACAAACATTAGAGTTTTATCTCCCTTTCCAGTGCTCACTGGAAGCTGAGGCCCCTTCAAAATAGTTGTATAAAATCTACATTAAACTGGATTATATGGCAGTGTGGACTCAGATAATCCAGTTCAAAGCAGATATCGTGGATCATCTGCCATGATATTCTGGGTTATATGGCTGCGTGGAAAAACCCTGGGCCATTCCACACAGCCCTTTGTTGTTGTTTATTTGTTCAGTCGCTTCTGATTCTTCGTGACCTCCTGGAGTAGCCCATGCCAGAGCTCTCTGTCAGCCGTCACCACCCCCAGCTCCTTCAGAGTCAAGCTAGTCACTTCAAGGATACCATCCATCTACCTTGTCCTTGGTTGGCCCTTCTTCCCTTTACCCCAGCATCATTGTCTTCTCTAAGCTTTCCTTTCTTCTCATCATGTGGCCAAAGTACTTCATCTTTGCCTCTAATATCCTTCCCTCCAATGAGCAATCGGGCTTTATTTCCTGAAATATGGACTGGTTGGATCTTCTCGCGGTCCAAGACACTCTCAGAACTTTCCTCCAACACCACAGTTCAAAAGCATCTATCTTCCTTCACTCAGCCTTTTCTATAGTCCAGCTCTCACATCCGTATGAGGAATACCATTGCTTTAACTATGCGGATCTTCATTGCCAGTGTGATGTCTCTACTCTTCACTATTTTATCAAGATTGGACATTGCTGTCCTCCCAAGAAGTAAACATCTTCTGATTACTGGAGCTCCATCCACACAGCTTTATATCCCAGAATATCAAGGCAGAAAATCCCACATTATCTGAGTATGGACTCAGATAACCCAGTTCAAAGCAAATATTGTGGGATTTTCTGCCTTGATATTCTGGGATGTGTGGCTGTGTGAAAGGGGCTTCAGAATCTTAACATTGCTGCATTAAATATTACTCTCCATGTGTGCCATGCTTTCCTGCAGGCCTTGCCCGAAGTAGCAAAATCAAAATGGATAGCAAAGCAGGGACATCTCTGGAGATGAACTGTTAATTCAAGTCAGTTGTTTTATGCGTGTCATAGACAAGTCACGCTGCCTTAATTTCGCCTAAAATTCTAGATATTCAGATTAAATGATGCCATGAGCTTTAAAACTACTATCAATAACGCAGCAAAAACAAAGGCTCAGTGCAATATATTTTGACAGGCAGCCAGCATAACTTCCTTCAAGTACTATGTGCCTGAATGCGTCACCATGTTAAGAACACAAGGGAGGAGAAAGGGAGGGAGGGAGGAGGGTGTCTCTTTCTTGGGAAAGTGGAGCAGCATTAAGTTGGGCATGTTTAAACATGAGACTGACATCATTGCTCTGAAAGAACAATGGAGTGTCAAACTGGAAATTAACCTACTCTATTTTCTCTCTCAGGTTTTGAAAACCTGTTCTATGACACAGTCCAACCCAAGTCAAGCACTTTAGAACCCCAGTGTTTTATAATGAGTGAGAACTTAGCTCAGCTCTGCCAGTGAAATCTTATTTGCTTAAATTTGGCTTAGTTATCCCCATGTTTGATTTATTTCCCTGTACTGTTCCTATCTTTGCATGATGTGGGAGAAAGAAAAGTTAAATAGACACTTTCTCCTTCTCTGTATTTTAAGATATACATACAGTACTTATTGCAGTACTTCTTCCAACTTCAGCACGTAAAGTTGGCTAGTTTGTTGAGCATTGTTATTTATATAACAAAAGCCTGAATGAGTAGCATTTGGGGAAAGGGAATGATGGGAGCAGATTTGTGTTGGGGCAGGGAACGACAATGATGACAAGATTGCTTTCCAGTTACATTCTTCCACTTGTACACTTACTTATTTATTTACTATATTTATATACTGCCTTTCTCACCCCTGGGAGGGACTCAAGGTGATTTTCAACATAATAATGGCAACATTCAATGCCAACATACATGTAGAAAGGAAAGAAAAAAAATCATAATAACTAAACATCAACATCTATATAAATAAAAATGTAATGTTCGTTTCTGGGATTAACATAACTCAAAAAGCACTGGATGAATTGATACGAAATTTGGACACTATACCCCTAACAGACCAAACAGTGACCATCACTCATAACCTCCCCCCTCCCCAAAAAACAGCGGAAAGAACTTAAAAACCCAAAAAAGCTAAATGAGGAAAAGCTAAATGACGATACAGGGAAAAAAGGGAAGGAAAAGGGAGAAAAGGAAGGAAGAGGAGAAAGAAAGAAGGAAGGAAGGAGAGAAAGAGGGAGGGAAAGAAAGAAGGATGGAAGCAAACAGTGAAGGAAGGAAGGAAGGAAGGAAGGAAGGAAGGAAGGAAAGAGGTAGAGAAGGAAAAAAGGAAAGAGAGGAAGGAAAAGAAAAAGGGGAAAGAGAGGTAGAGAAGGAAGGAGAGAAGGAAAGAAAAAAGGAAGGAAAGAAGGAGTGAAGGAAGGAGGGAAGGAAAGAAGGAAAGAGAGAAGGAAGGATGGAAGCAAAAAGCAAAGGGAGGAAAGAGGTAGAAAAAGAAGGAAGGAGAGAAAGAAAGAGAAAAAAGAAAGGAAGGAAAGAGGGAGCGAAGGAAGGAGGGAAAGAAAGAGAAAGAGCGAGGGAAGGTTGGCCACAGCAATGCGTGGTGGGTACAGCTAGTATAAGTATAAATTAAAATAACTAAAACCATTAAACATAAGGCATAAACATTAAGACAAAGCATTAAAAACATTTAGTATAAATATTAAAATCACATGATCCAAAAATTGTTCCGATTGTCATTACACGTATTTCCTAATTATTCTTTGCACTACATTATTTTACTGGCCAAAGACTTGGTCCCACAACCACATCTTGGTTTTCTTTCTAAAGGCCAGGAGGGAGGGCGCTGATCTAATCTCCCTGGGGAGAGGGTTCCAAAGCCTAGGAGCCATCACTGAGAAGGCCTTGTTTCTTGTTCCCACCAACTGTGCTTGCGACGGAGGTGGGACTGAGAGATGGGCCTCCCCAGAAGATCTTAACCTCCGTGATGGTTCATAGAGGGAGATACGTTTGGACAGATAAACTGGGCCGGAACCATTTAGGACTTTATAGGCAAAAGCCAGAACTTTGAATTGTGCTCGGTAGCAAACTGGCAGCCAGTGGAGCTGGCGTAACAGGAGAGTTGTGTGCTCCCTGTATGCCGCTCCAGTTAGAAATCTGGCTACCGCTTGTTGGACCATTTGAAGGTTCTGAACAGTCTTCAAAGGCAACCCCACATAGGATGTGTTGCAGTAACAATAGTGTGGACCACCATTGCCAAATCTGACTTCCCAAAGTACAGGCACAATTTTTATTGTGCAAAAGCTTCCCTGGCCAACCACTGAAACCTGGCGTGTACACACATGCACACATACCACTCTGTAGTTCCCAACTGTGTCCTTTACAGATTTTTCTCATGAGATTTCAATCATCCTAGATGTTCGGTGAGTTTGCACTGATTGGAATGAGTTGCAAGTATAGTGCCAAATATAACAAAACTCTATTTCCAGATATAAGGATAGCAAAACATCACATTGTAATTCCAGGTGTCTCTCTATTCTGCTTTGGTTAGACCTCACCTGGAAACATAGTATGAACTATGTTTCCAGGTGAGGTCTAACCAAAGCAGAATAGAGAGACATAAGAATTGCATAAGAATTGTATTGTATTGTGACAAGGGGAGTTAACAGGAGGTTGAGATTGTAGTTTCCAAACTTACATAAACTTTTGTCCCCCCCCCCTTTTTTTTTCTTTTTTTCTTTCTGTCTTCCTCTTGTTGCCTCTTTCCATATCTCAACAGGCTCCTCGTCAACTCTGAAGCCAATGATGGGGGAACAAAGGTAAAGAATGATGTAATGTCAGGACCAGACGAAAAGCATCTTTTGTTTGAGTTCTGAAATGGCTACTCTATAGCCCAGGATGAATTGGTTGTGAGGGGCTGCTTTGTGGCGTCCTGTATAACCAGCACATCAGCTTGGGAGCTTGAAGAGGCATTCATCTTTGGAGGACCCTCTCAAAAGAAAATGGGTCTAACTTTTCTCTTGCCAGTCACTACCAGTATGACCTCATGCACTTTGAGTACAATGGCATGGCTAAGCCTTTAAGTGCATAGCCATTACATCATCTTCATCATTGCTGCAAATTAGAGAGGAAGGCAAGAAAAGCCTCAGTTGTTGTCATGGCAGATGTAATGAATGGTACTCGACTCATTGTTGGCGAACATCTAGTGGCTTTGCTGGAAAGCGGCATGGAAAAATTGCTGCTGATTGACAGCCGCCCCTTTGTGGAATATAATACATCGCACATCTTGGATGCCATCAACATCAACTGCTCCAAGCTTATGAAGCGGAGGCTGCAACAGGATAAAATTTTGATCACAGAACTCATTCAGCATTCTGCAAAACACAAGGTAAAGTGCTGCTTAGTGTCGTTGGGATTCCTCTTTCTAAAGAGTATTTATGCAGACGTATTGATTATGATTAGCCATTGATTTGTGCATGTTTGTGCAAATTTGCTCCTTTTAGTCTTGACAACAGTTAGTGATGTAAGCACCAGATTTTTATCATGGTTGTTGATAAAGGTTTGCTATTAATACTGGAAATATTGGGGGAAATAACTCATACCTATAGTTGACATAAGTAATGTACAAGTAAAGGAAAAAATGGGAGAAATCACAAAGACGAATTAAAAGGAATAGTCAGCATGTGTAGGTAGAAATTTAGAAAAGCCAAAATACAGAATGTGCTCTTAAAAATAATTTAAAAGGCTTTTTTGGTTATGTCTGTAGCAAAAGGGAAGAACAATGAAATAGTTAAGCCACTGTGTAGAGGTCATGTCAAATGCTAACAAAACAGAGAAAAGGCAGAGCTACTCAACACCTTCTTTGCCTCAGTTTTCTCCAAAAAGATTAATACTACTAAACTTGGGAAGGATGAAGCAGAGGATGCAGTAGAAGAAATGCAGCACAGAATAGTTAAACGGACAGTACAGGAATATCTGTCTAATCTAAATGAATTCATGTCTCCAGGGTAGGATAAATTACTTCCAAGGGTATTAAAATAACTAGCAGAAATCATTTTGAAACCACTGGAAATCACCTTTGGAAGAAGGCTAATGCTGTCTCCATCTTCAGAAAGAGGAAAAAGGAGAACCCAAACAATTTTTGTCTAATCAGCTTGACATCAATACTAGGAAAAATTCTAGGGCAGAAAAGTAAACAGAGAATCTGTAAGCACACAGAAAATAATGCCCTAGCACAAAAAGTTGACATGAGTAGTCATGTCAGATGAACCTATCTCTTTTTTTACAGTGTTACCAGCTTGGTAGATGAAGGGAATGCTGTGAATGTAGCATATCTCGATTTGTCAAGGTCCCCTATGACACTCTCACAAGGAAGCTGGTAAAAAGTGGGCTACTATTAGATGGATTGGGAATTGTTTAACTGACCAAATGGAAAAGATGCCTACCCATAGCCCCTTTTCATCCTGGAGAGAATTGACCAGTGGAGTGCTACAGGATTCTGTCCTGGGCCCAGGACATCTTTATCAATGACTGGAACAATGGAATATAAAGCAATGTTGAAATTAGAAATAGCTGTATTCAAATTAAAAACTAGCAGCGAAATTCACAAGGGCTGCAAAACTCAGTGGATAATTCCCTAAAGCTGGAGGCTCCTTTGTTTCCTTTTCTAGTTGTATACTTTGTTGTAAACGCAAGACCTTCCTTCTTAATAGACATGTACAGGTTTGCACTAGAAAAGTACCACTGTCAGTTTCTATTGTTTCAGAAAAATGCAGGTAACTTCTAACAGCAACAGTATGCTGTTTGATTATCTGGATAATTTTTTTAAGTGATTTGAAGTGCTATTATAACTTCGAATGTCAATGGCAGAAGGAAAGGGGAAAACAAATAATCTAATAGTGATGACAATAGTGGCAACACATCAAAGTCCTAAGGTGCTTTCAGACACAAATCTCCCTGGTGTGGCTAATCCAAGGCCTTTGTAGTTCTTTCTTTCTTTCTTTCTTTCTTTTCATGGAGCTTTTTGTGGTAAGACAAATATGGAAGAAGTTATAGTAAAACATGGGAGGATTTGAGATTAGTGATAGTGACATCTGACTCTCCCCACCCTTGGTCAGGATGATTGTGCAGGAAGACTTTCATCTGAAAGCACGCTTAGTAACATAAAAAGAAAAGATAACTATGGTAAGAGTAGCAGTCCTGGAGACAAGTAAGAGCTACACAAGTATTCCTATCCCTTGTAGCAGAGAACTACAACGACAGACCCTCTGATGTTTAGGAAATTTGGAGATGCACACCTTTTATGCCACACAATTATAGTCCCTAATTTATAGTTTTGGTGCCAGGGAATCCCATGGATTCCTGGGATTTGCAGTTTAGGGAGGGTACTTTGAATGCTCAGCGAGGGAATTGCCTCATCAAGCTATAAACGCAAGGACTGCATAGGATGTAGTCACAGGAGTTTTCATAAGTTGACTCATAATACTTTAATTGTGTAGTGTGAAAGTGTTCTTATTTAAAGTCTCAGGAGACAGATTTCTATGTTCTATCTAACTCTACCCCCTCAATCTTAACAAATAATTTTCTGGCCAGGGTACATCGGAGAATTGATCCTATTTTTAATGCTCTCTCTTTTTTGCATCTGAATTCAAAATGCTGCCCATGTGAACCCAGCAGGGCAGAAGATAAAGGTGTGAGATTTCTCTGGGGCTAATTTTATAAACATTATATTCTTCCTTCCATTGAAACCAATTGCCCTATTCCAGCTTTGGAATGATGGAGATCAGTCCAAAACTGATCTCTACTAGTCCAGGCCTGGAACTACCAACAGCCAGACTCATTTTCTCTTCTTGAAAACAACTGCCATTGGATCTCCTCTTTGGGGGAAAGACAGCTTCTTCGGCCTGGGCAAATATTAGAAAGGTCCTCTGGAGTCTGGCTCCCATAATTGTTATACTGAACAATTTGTTACATCTGATGTTTTGTCCTCAATTGTTTTTTCCAGGTTGAAATTGACAACAAGCAAGAAGTAGTGGTATATGATCAAAGCTCAAAAAATGTCCCTTCTATCCCTTCTGATTCTTTTCTGAACGTTCTGTTGGGAAAACTGGAGAAGAATTTCAGCTGTGTTTATCTGCTTGCAGGTAGGATGCTGGGAAACTGTGTGAGTGACACCTGTGAGAAAGGGCCCATCACACAAAATTATGATGATGATAACTTTATTCCTATACCCCACCACCATCTCCCCAAAGGGACTCGGTGGGCTTGCATATGGGATGCAAGCAAAACTCTTATACAACAGTTGTATAACTCTTCTATGTTTTTCATGCATGTTATGTAACACTTCTACGTGTTCATGCGCACTCTCTTCTTTCAACACAACATATGTCAATGGAAAGGTACGGGTAGGCTTGTATCATAATGGATTCTTTTCAGCCTAAGAATTCTGCAGCCTAAGTATGAGGACAGGATTTTTGCAAAAGTGGGCGTTGCCATATGTGTTTTAAATCCTTTTCAACATGCCAGATGGAGACTGGCCAGGCGGGTAGAGGAAATGTTTCATACCTCTTTACAGCAAGACAAGTCTAAAGGTGCTGCTGTAAGAAATCTACTTCAAAAACTTCCTTGTGTGTAATCAATATTCAGTATTCCATTTGGGAATAGTAGGTCATTCATGTATAAGTCTAGAAATGTTAGTCAAAAAATCCCAAAACCTGGGTTGACTTATCCATAGGTAAATATAAGTAGTACTATACCACGAGCAAATGTAAGTACTCTTATTTTTTAAAAAGGAACCCTTCCCTTCTTTGATTAAAAAAATGAGCTTAGTCAATCCTGGAAGAATGTATAACAGTGGTTCTCAACCTGTGGGTCCCCAGATGTTTTGGCCTATAACTCCCAGAAATCCCAGTTTACCAGCTGTTAGGATTTCTGTGAGTTGAAGGCCAAAACATCTGGGGGCCCACAGGTTGAGAACCACTGACCTAGAAGAAGCACAGGCCTCTGCTCTTCTCTTTACTGTAATGCTGTTTCTAGCCTTTTTGAATGCCTGGGTGGTGAAATGGTGGTGTGGGGCAGGAATAGCTTTCTCCTATCCATCATTGGTGCTTTCCCCTATCCACAGAATAACTCTCAATTTACCTCTGGATCATATCAAAGTACATAATTTTGACCCCCAAACCTGCTCTCAACTTATGTATACATTAGTTCAACTTATACATTAATATGTATGGTAAGTAAGTAAATAAGTAAGTAATAATAATAATAATCTTTATTTATACCCCGCCACCATCTCCCCCAACGGGGACTCGGGGCGGCTTACATGAGGCCAAGCCCAAACAACATATTACAGCAAAATAAAACCAAAATATAAGCAACAAGCAACAACATCATAATTATATAAAAACATATGAATACATTAGTAATATAACATTACAGTAAACACAGTCATAATGACAGTGATTTAAATACTCGGGTGAGATAAAGGAGCAAATTATTTGCAAGAGGGAGGTAATAAAAACAGGGTTGTGGAACCAAGCTTTCCAACGAGGAGGGACATGTACTCCAGTGACAGAAGCGTTGAGGGGAGCAGTACTGTCATGTTGTGTACCTACTCACCAAAGGCGCAGCGGAAGAACCAGGTTTTAAGGTTCTTTTTAAAGGTTTCTAGGGTAGGGGCTTTCCTGATCCCTCCAGGTAGTGAGTTCCAGAGTCGGGGAGCCACAGAGGAAAAGGCTCTCCCCCTTGTGTCCACAGGACGAGCTTGTGAAACTGGTAGAGGTGAAAGGAGGGCCTCCCCCAAAGATCGAAGGGCCTGGGTTGGTTCATGGTGAGAGATATGGTCCAAGCGTTCCTGGATGGGACAAATTATCAATATCCAATCCAATATAGATTCAAGCTGGTAATAGGACAGTGACAACTGAATGATCTACACTGGGATATGGATAAGGATGATAGTCACTTCACAACAGTGACGTAATGGGTTAAATCCTTGTGCTGGTAGGACTACTGACTGATAGGTCAGTGCTTCAAATCCGTGGAGAGTGGGTTGAACTCCCTCTGTCAGCTCCAGCTCCCCATGCGGGGACATGAGAGAAACCTCCCACAAGGATGGTAAAACATCAAATATTCGGGCGTCCTCTGGGCAACGTCTTTGCAGACGGTCAATTCTTTCACACCAGAAGTGACTTGCAGTTTCTCAAGTCGCTCCTGACACACACAAAAAACCTTCACAACACTGATCAGGTACCTGCCTGCTATGCTGTAATTCAGGACAGTTGTGGAACAAAATGTTGTTGGGAAGAGAAAGGTGAATGAAATGACAGCAATTAAAATGACCTGTTGTTTAGTTTAGTATTTGGTCTTCTTCATGAACTATTCAGCAAAGTCTTTGAGAATTGACTTTTTAATATATAACTGAATTCAAACTGTTCTGGCTATAATTCTGATTTTTTTAAGCTTTTAGTTTCACTGACCTCAGTTTTGTGAGTTACGTAAGAAAATAACTTGCAGAGTCAACAGTTTGGTTATCGTTAAGATTAATAAGTAAAAAACGAACAGGTCTTACGCAAGCCAAGCAATGCAGCCTTGTATAGCCCAAATGCACTATGAAATGGAACATTAGCCACATTCCATTTCTTCTGTGGAATGCCCTAAAAGCATGTGTTTTCTCTCTTGCAGATGCTTTCCTATCCTGTTGAATATTTGTTTGAATGCCTGATGTCTGAGTAGTTTTTAAGCCTTGTTGACTCAAATATTACTACTTCAGCTGATTGATTGGTTAATGCTGAGTGAACGATACTGAAGGCTTATTCAATTAAAGTTTTGATCAGCTGTAACTGCAATGTAAAGTTCCAGGTTTACTCTTAGACAATAAATAAATACTTCATACTTGCTTGCTTTGTGAATTGTCACCTCCTATAATAAGACATATGAAGCAGACATTGGAGAAAATGATTTATGAGCTAGGTTATTTGAAAACTTTCCTAGGCACATATGTGATAAATAGACAAGAAACAACTGAGTTTCTAGCTGCATATTTTTGTGTGTCTCCAAGTTGGTTGCCTATCACAGGGTTGACTGTATTGTTGAGGGTGTTCATGGCTGAAATCACTAGGTTGCTGTGAGTTTTTTGGGCTGTATGCCCATGTTCCAGCAGAATTCTCTCCTGACATTTTGCCTGCATCTGTGGCTGGCATCCTCAGAACCTCTGAAGATGTCAGCCACAGATGCAGGTAAAACATTAGGAGAGAATTCTGCTGGAACATGGACATACAGCCCAAAAAATTCACAGCAACCTACTATCACAGGGTTTTATTGGCAAGATTTGTTCAAATTGAGTTTGCCATTGCCTTTCTCTAAGGCTGAGAGAGTGTGGCTTTCTAAAAGTCCCCCAGTGGATTTCCTTGGCTAGGTGGGGATTTAGACCCTGGTCTCCATAGACAGGGTCTGCGCCCGGTAGTGCGGTGGGTCAAAGCACTGAGCTGCTGAATTCGCTGATCAGAAGGTTTTAAGTTTGAATCCGGGGAATGGCGTGAGCTCCCACTGTTAGCCCCAGCTTCTGCTGACCTAACAGTTCGAAAACATGCAAATGTGAGTAAATCGATAGATACCACACCAGGTGGGAAGGTAACGGCACTCCATGCAGTCGTGCCAGCCACATGACCTTGGAGGTGTCTATGGACAACGCCGGCTCTTCAGCTTAGAAATGGAGATGAGCACCAACCCCCAGAGTCGGACACAACTGGACTTAATGTCAGGGGAGAACCTTTACCTTACTACCTCCATAGACATAGTCTAATCCTCAAACCGCTACACCAGTGGTTCTCAACCTGGGGTCCCCAGATGTTTTTGGCCTTCAACTCCCAGAAATCCTTACAGCTGGTAAACTGGCTGGGATTTCTGGGAGTTGTAGGCCAAAAATATCTGGGGACCCCAGGTTGAGAACCGCTGCGTTACACCATCCTGGCTAGAACTGTAAAAACCATAAACACAACACATACATATTTAAGGGAGACAAATACAGATGTGAATAAATGGTCGTAATCCTTAGTTCTCCTTTCCCCTGTTGACCTTTTTGCTCTTCCTTAGCTAGAGAAGAGGAGTGGAGAGAGGATTGCCATTTTTCTTGGTCTTAACAGTTCCTTTCAGAGAAGCGGTTGTACCTTGTAAAAACAATATACTGTGTATACACCGTTGGAGGAAACTGCTATGCCTTGATCAGAGAGGCTTTGAAATAAACCACTACATATTTAAACTACTCATCACAGCTGGATAATTGAATGTGATGTTGGATCTTGGCAAGCTTCTCTGACTGGAAGTGGGGAAGAAAGCTGGTGGTTTTGTAAACAAAGATCTAGAAGGTGTTTGGTTTCTGAAAAACAAAAGCTGTTTGGTCTCTCTCAACCAGAAATGGCTTTTGGCACCTTAAGTCGGTTTCATGGAAACTCCCATCTGAGTAGTGTAGCCACAAGTCATAAACTGAACAAGCCAGTACTGGAAAAGTTGCATGCTGTATTAACATGGGGAAAGATCCAGCAACCACTGACTAAACAAAACAGCTGGGCCTCTATTAGCTGACACTTTCAATTCCCATTGATGAAAGTCCTCTCTGTTCTGTAAGCTAGCAAAAAAAAAAAAAAAAAACTGGGGCAATTCTCAGGGGGTTTTTAAATACAAATTTGAGATGCCCATTGTGTCTGATAACTTGCAAAACAGCACTGTTCCAAAAAATAGACAGCACAGTAGAATGGCCATATTAATTTTTAACTATGCCGATGCTTTCCCTCTCAGCTTAAAAATAATTTCTCAGTTATTGATGTGCTTCCTTAGTTGTTTCAGCCGAGTGCTTGCATTTTGAATTCCATGCAAGATCTGGACTACCTAAGAGGCAATTCTTTCAATCTGTACAGAGGGAGGTGTAAAGAAGTGGTAATTATACCGACAGACCTTTTTGGCAAGCCCTTTAAGGAGGAAGGTATCAGTTGGGCAGCTGTCACTCCCATCACAAAATGGGACTGTTATACTTCGATCTGTAGAATTACATGGCTCTTACACACATGCAGTGATACTTTTCATCCTTCAAGTGGTTTAATTTACAATAAAAATATTTCATAATGCTTTGAATCAGTTTTTAATTAGTTTTTCTTTTAATCATTACATGTACCCCACCCATTGTCACTGTGATTATGTTTATTGTAATTTTATATAGTTATGCATTCATATGTTTTATGTAATTATGATGTTGTTGTTTGTTGTTTGCATTTTCGGTTATATTCCGCTGTAATTTGTTGTTTGGGCTTGGCCTCATGTAAGCTGCCCCAGTCCCCATTGGGGAGATGGTGGTGGGGTATAAATAAAGTTTATTATTATTGTTATCAAGTATTGACATGTGCTTCAGCTAAAACCAGAAATGCCAATGATTGTTTTCTCCAGGTGGATTTGCTGAATTTTCAAGATATTTCCCTGGCCTTTGTGAAGGAAAATCTGTCCTGGTGCCTTCGTGCATTTCTCAGCCCTGCTTACCAGTCTCCAACACTGGGCCAACACGCATTCTCCCTCATCTTTACCTTGGGTGCCAGAGAGATGTCCTCAACAAGGTGGGCATGTTGAAATATGATGGTATCAATAATGAATGAACTCAAAGAACAATTTGTTTTTCTGTTGACATTTTATGAAAATAGCATATTAGCTTGTATTACTACCTCACCAGAAGGGCTTAGTTTCGGCGGCATGCACCGGATCTTCTATAGTTTTACGGCAGAGGCCACCAGCTCCCATCAGACAACATCGAACTATTTATTTATTTATTTAAAGCCTTTATATTCCGCCCTTCTCACCCCGAAGCACAACATATAAACGGCAAACATTCAATGCCGAAAGATATTATACCATACACATACAAAAGCATTAAAATCATATATCGCAACGTTAAAATCCACTAGTTAAAACTGTCTCAACAACCATATCGAATTTGGTTGGCATACTAAGGGTTCCTATCGCTGCCTCAATGCACAGTCCCAAAGGCTCGGTCCCACAGCCATGTTTTTATCATTCTTCTAAAGGACAAGAGGGAAGGGGCTGACCTGATCTCATTAGGAAGGGAGTTCCATAGCCGAGGGGTAATTACTGAGAAGGCCCTGTCTCTCGTCCCCACCAAACACGCCTGTGATGGTGATGGGACCGAGAGTAGGGCCTCCCCAGAAGATCTTAACTGAACTACTTCAATGGGGCTCCGTCGTAAAATTATAGAATTTCTGGCTTATGCTGTGATGGCAGCAACACAAGAGGCTTCCTGTGTTGCCTTTGAGACAGTTGAGGGAGGGTGTCAGGCAACGGATACGTGTGTGTGTGTGTGTGTCCCCCGTGGGATGTGGTGCCCATTGAATCAGGTGATGCAGGGTGTGGAGTGACGGGTTACCGCTGCTGCGCACCAGGCACTGCCGGATTTGCCGCGATGCGTGGCAATTCTGGTGGCACATGTGAAGATGTCCTTGTCTCAAGCTTTCATGCTCAGTTTAAACAGAAGGAGGTACATCATGAACATTTTAATGGGGGAAAAAAGAATAAATTGCAGAATAGGGTAATGGCTGTTTTATTAGGCCTACTACAATATTACCAAATAGAAGAAAAGTGGTTTCAATTTTTGGATTCATTATGCCAAGAAAAGAAGAGAGATGTAGTAGGAGAAGAAACAAAACATCCAAAAATTGAATTTGGTGAATTGATATTGAATAGGTTCTGTGTGATATGATTACAACATGCTCCCTGAAAAGTAAAATGGTAATCATGATTGCTTTCAGATTGCTCATACACACAGTTAATGGTTGTTGTCCATTCTCACCAGCCATAAAGTTGGCTGAGATGCATTTTTTCAACAGTCCCAAAAACAACTCTATCGTTGCACCCTGGAAGCTCCTCTTGCTCCCTAGGACTTCCACTTTGGGTGGACTTTGGGTGGCTGAAGGTGGGACACCCATCTTTTCCTACTCCCATTCAAGAGGCCATCATTGTCTCAGAGATGTCTCCTCAAGAGTCAGCTCGCAGCATTCTTTGCCTACTTCACCATGCCTCTGTGGTCCTCAAGTGTTCCTCCCACTACTACTACTACTACCACCACCACCAACCCCCAGCATTCATCTATGGCCAACAAAACTCCTTCCTCCACCACCAACACCCCAGATGCATATCTATGGCCACCAAAGCTTCCATCTTCAAACAACCCCTCTCTCCTCATTGGTTTGGATCACCCTTCAGGTGGAAGCTTGTGAAGCTCTAGAACATTTTGTGAAAAAGGGAGTGTTTGCTTCTCTCTAACAAACTATTATAGGCATTCTCTTCCTGATTTGCAAATGTGGCTTTTCTTTACAGTTGCTGTTGGCTTTCTTTTTCGTAGGAGCTGATGCAGCAGAACGACATTGGCTATGTATTAAATGCAAGTAATACTTGCCCCAAGCCTGACTTCATCCCAGAATCCCACTTCTTAAGAGTGCCTGTGAATGACAGTTTCTGTGAAAAGATTTTCCCCTGGCTGGACAAATCTGTGGACTTTATAGGTAAATACTTTAGATGTCACCCTTGTAAATAGAATAAATCATACTAATCAGTTTACAATTGTATATATCGTGCAAAAGAATTCCTCCATTAGCATCAGGAAGGCAAACACTAAGAACATATCTGTAATATTTTTTGTCTTCTGGTTTCAGATATTTTTCAGGAAGTTTTTATTGGATTTACTAAATGTATGCCCTATCTTTCTCCCAAAATGGAATTCATACTATTTTACAATATTTTTTTTAAAGATCAAGCTAAAATATTAATAAAGGCAGTGACCGAGTTACAAAGATCAGACTTACAAACAACTCATAGTTACAAACAGGGCTGAGACAACAGGAAGTGGGAAAAATCTACCCCTCAGAAGGGAAATTCACTCCTGAAAGAGTTTTCATTGGGAAAAGGTGAAGCCTTATCACTATTCCTTGTTTCCACAAGAAACCGTTCCCCCCTCACCCAAATCCAGTGATGACAGAGACAGAAAGTGAGGCGCACAGACAGCAAAACAAGACGCCGCAGGAGTGTTAACGCTTCCCTACATTATCATTATATATATATATATATATAGAGAGAGAGAGAGAGAGAGAGAGAGAGAGAGAGAAATGCAATATTATAATATGATATTATAATTATATATTTACATTACTTGTAATATTACTAATAATATTACGATATAGTGGTATGGTGCAATATAGCAATGTTTAATGATGATATTGTACTATGCTAATAATATAATCTATTGTATGTAATATATACAACAACAACCATTTTTATTGATTAGCCAGTTGGCCTTATCAAAAACAGACAGTGAAACACAACATACAACATACATCTGGTCCTATTAAAATATATACAAATATATAGGAATTTATCAACTTAAAACCAATGTAGCTTAGCCATAGATATATGCATCAACTATCCTCGTCTCCCCTACACTGCACCCCAATCTGATCTATGAACTCTGATCTCCTTTTAGCAGCTTAATATATACCTTGTAAGCCGCTCTGAGTCCCCTTCAGGATGAGAAGAGCAGCATATCAATGTCGTAAATAAATAAATTTGTTTGTGGGATTAACATAACTAAAAAACCACTGGATGAATTGACATCAAATTTGGACACAATACACCTCTCAGGACAATGAGTGACTATCACTCATAAAAACACTGAAAAACACAAGGGAAGGGACTTAAAAAGCAAAAAAAATCCAGAAATTACATTACAACGCACGTGTTTGAGTCCCCCCAGGGGCGAGAAAAATGGTATATAAATGAAGTAAATAAATAAATCAACTATTATGCAGCCCACGGTGGCACAGCAGGTTAAAGCACTGAGCTGCAGAACTTGCTGACCAGAAGGTCAGCAGTTCAAATCTGCAGGACGGGGTGAACTCCTGCTGTTAGCTCCAGCTTCTGCCAACCTAGCAGTTTGAAAACATGTAAGTGTGAGTAGATAATAGGTACTGCTCCAGCGGGAAGGTAATGGCATTTCATGCAGTCATGCCAGCCACATGACCTTGGAGGCATCTACGGACAACGCCAGCTCTTCGGCTTAGAAATGGAGATGAGCACCAACCCCCAGAGTCAGACTCGACTAGACTTTATGTCAAGGGGAAACCTTTACCTTTACAGGTTGTGTTATGTATAATCGATATATTTTAAAGTAAGTGCTGCCTGTTTTAGTTGTTAGCTCTATTCCCTCTTTGTGTATAAGAAGGGAATTATGTTTGTGTGATGTTTGAGGGTTGTTTGGAGCCTTCAACCCATTTCAGAGCATCATTGTATGCCATATATTCTTATTCTTTTTCATTTTACAGAAAAAGCTAAAGCCTCCAATGGCCGTGTTTTAGTTCACTGTTTAGCTGGAATATCTCGCTCTGCCACCATCGCAATTGCATACATAATGAAAAGAATGGATATGTCCTTGGATGAGGCCTACAGGTAAGTACAGGGGCTCTTTTTCTCTTTTCAGGGTGAGAGGAGTCTCGAGCTTTGGTTGAAAATTTATTAATGCTTTGTGCTGGACGTTTGATTCAGTTTGGAGTCCAATATGACAATTGAGATTCAGTCTCAGTGTCATCTGTATCAATCCAGATCCACTAATACCAGGAAAGGAGATTCCACCTGAACATTAGGAAAAACTTCCTGCCCGTAATAGCTCTTCAACAGTGGAGCTCTCTCCCTTGAGTGTGGTGGAGACTCCTTCTTTGGAGAGCTTTAAAAAGAGGCTGGATGGCTATCTGTTGGGGGTGCTTTGATTGTGCTTTTCCTGCATGGCCGGGGATTAGACTGGATGGTACTTATAGTCTCCTCCAACTCTATGATTTTATTATTTTATTTTTAAAAACTGTAGGTAAGGTAGACACTTAAAGTTGTAGATAAGATAGACCCTTAAGAGGAGATTAACCTAGTGAAGTTTTGGATTAGTGGTTCTCAACCTGTGCATCCCCAGATGTTTTGACCTTCAACTCCCAGAAATCCTAACAGCTGGTAAACTGGCTGGCATTTCTGGGAGTTGTGGGCCACCTGGGGACCCACAGGTTGAGAACCAGTTTTAGACAAATAACTCCAGGTGTTTATATGCTGAGCCCCTGTGTAATTTGCTGTTTCCCCTAAAACACCAAGAAGATTGAATAAGGCAGTTCAACAAGACAAAAGGAAATTTTAAAAGAAGAAGCTTAGAATGACCACCTCAGATGATAATCAACAACATCCCTCACACTAACTTTTTCACAATCTACTACATATGGTGGAGGAGATAATCTAACTTCCCATAAACTGTAATTGGAGCTTGTTGGTGAAATTCTTGCCTCAGATTGCATGATAATGCTGCCAGTGAGTTCTCCTTCCTCAGAGCACCACACACCTCAGTGACTTTCTAACATACTTATATTGGAGATATACTGTCTGAGTTTTCCCTACTTATTTTTCATGTTGGGATTTCTGGATTAGTGAATCCAAATATATGTGTGTTTGTAATACCATTATTTTCTCCCTACGGGACCCAACACAGCTTACATCATGCATTGAGACAGCTAAAACAGTCTGAAATACAACATTGTATAAACCAGGGGTCCTCAAACTAAGGCCCGGAGGCTGGATACGGCCCTCCAAGGTCATTTACCCGGCCCTCACTCAGGGTCAACTTAAGTCTGAAACGACTTGAAAGCACACAACAACAGTCCTATCTCATTAGCCAAAAGCAGGCTCACACTTCCCATTGAAATAATAATAAGTTTATATTTGTTAAAATTGTTCTTCATTTTAATTATTGTATTGCTTTAAATATTTTTGCACTACAAATAAGATATGAGCAGTGTGCATAGGAATTCATTCATTATTTTTTTCACATTATAATCTGGCCCTCCAACAGTTTGAGGGACTATGACCTAGACCTCTGTTTAAAAAGTTTGAGGACCCCCTCATTTAAATGCAGTCCACTTCAAACATTAATTTAGAAATTAAAATCTTAACCAGGTCTAGCCTGCTTAGGTTCAAAAGTTATATAAAATTAGGTGTCTTTAGAATGGAACGATGGCGAGATTTCACAATATCTTGTGTTCTCTTTCCTACCATCTTAAAAGAGGTTAGTATAAATTATGGTTATTTGTGAAACATGGGAGGAATACTGGTTCCTTTACCAAGTCTAGATTGTTATAGTGAGGAGATAATAAAGAGAAGAGAGGTTGGAGGAGAGAGGAGTACAATGACAAGATCAGATTTGCACCACTGTGGTTGCATACACATCTTTACTCTTCACCCAAGAGAGGGTGAAGAGTAAAGATGAAGCCAAAGGGCCCAAAGAATTGATCTGTTTTGAAGAGAGATTTGAAGAGGGACAGAGAAAATTATTTTTAGGGGAGGAGGAATCTGGGGGATTTTTACAGCTCTCACCCATCCTGGCTTGCAGTACATGAAGACTGACAAAATCTGGCAGATGGCCGGAAGGCTGAATTTAGTCTCGAGGTCCCAGGTTGATTGACTGATCTTTCTTTTCTTTTTTTCCTTTTTTGTGTTCTGTTTTCTTCCAAAAACATTTAGATTTGTGAAAGAGAAGAGGCCCACCATTTCTCCCAATTTCAACTTCCTTGGCCAACTTTTGGACTTTGAGAAGAAAATAAAGAACCAGAGTGGCCAAACTGGACCACTTAGCAAACTGAAGCTTTTGCATTTTGAAAAAGGCAGCGATCAGGGAGTGGGAGGAGGACAGGCCAGCAGCCTTCATTCCTCTCCTCAACTCTGCACTACTTCTACCTCAGAGACCGTGGAGCAGAAGCCAGTGGAAACTGGGAACCTGCCAGGTTGCTCTTTGCTATCGCTAGAAGACGGCCCCTTGGTCCAAGGCATAATAGGACTCAGTGTGTCCTCTGACCAAGTTGAAGACAATAACCGACTCAAGCGTTCATTTTCCTTAGATATTAAATCCGTATCATGTGTGGCAAGCAGCAGCTGTGTTACAGCTTCGGGACAGAGCTATCCTTCCTTGGAAGATACGTTAGAGTACTACAAGCATTCAAGCGCCTTGGAAGGTGGCAGCAAGTTATGCCAGTTTTCTCCTGTTCAGGAGGTTTCAGAACAGACCCCTGAGAGCAGCCCAGATAAAGAGGAGACAAAGCCTCCTGAAAAATCCCAGAATGCCTGGCAGCTGGACAGTCAGAGCAAATGGCAGCCCTTGGGGAGAAGCACTAATGCCACTCAGCGGTCACTATTGTATCCCTTGCACCGAAGTGGCAGCATGGAGGACAATTATAAAACAAACTTTGTTTTCGGCCTCTCTACCAGTCAGCAGCATTTGGCCAAGTCTGCTGCTGGGCTGGGCTTGAAAGGCTGGCATTCGGACATCTTGGCTTCTCAGGCTTCTGCGACGTCTCTGACCAACAGCTGGTATTTTGCTACAGATGCCTCTCATTTTTATTCTGCTTCTACTGTATATGGGAGCAGCACAGCCTACTCTACCTACGGGGGCAGTCAGCTGCCCACCGGGTGTGAGCAAGCTTATGCTGTCCGCAGGAGAGAGAAGCACGGTGATCGAGGGGACTCCCGTCGGAGCTGGCACGAGGAGAGCTCCTTTGAGAAGCAGTTTAAGAGAAGGAGCTGCCAAATGGAATTTGGGGAAAGTATGATGTCAGACAACAGAAGCCGAGAAGAACTTGGAAAAGTTGGGAGCCAGTCTAGCTTTTCGGGCAGCATGGAGATTATTGAAGTATCTTGAAGTTCTGTCCTGTGATTCTACGTTGTTCCCTCATGTTGTGTAAAAAATTCCCTGTAAATCTGAAATTTCACGCGAAATACGAACTGTGGGGTTTCATTGTGAAGGAAATCATGGTATGTGCGGGTGTGCATTAAAAAAAGGAGTGAAATGATTGAATGTCTAATATGTGCTGTGGGTATTCAACAATATGCTCCTTCAATGCTTCTCACTATTTTTAGATAGCAGGGGGAACTCCATGTTTTTCTTAACAGATACAGAAGGAGAGAGGCAAAGAATTATACCATATCTAATGGATCATCCATTGTAACCCAGGCAGATCTTTCGGCTCTGTTAAAAGTTCAGCTGCACACTTGTAGCTTTCCATCTTTGTCTTCAGCCATGTTTTGTGTCAGGGACAACACTAATCATAAATATATTGCTCATCTGACTGTGAGGATGAACAGAAAACAAAAAAAAGCATATAATTATGGTGAAAAGTATGGATTTCAAGCTATCTATGTACATGAGTACTCATTGGCAGACTCATAGTGGTCTCCACTATGTGCTTTGAAAAAAAATGTTCCCTCTCCTATCAGCCAACATCAATATTAGGGAGAGAGATCACAATTGAATTCCCGGACACAGTCTCTCAGTTTTTCAGGATGTCTCCTCCTTGCCGTGGCTCTTACCTGAGCAAAGCAGGAGGTACATGATGTTTGGGTTTGGAATCACCATTGCTTATGCTCTTGAGGATTTTTGTGAATAGTAAGTGGGATGTACCTTAAATTATAATTTCCCCAAACTGTTCCAGGTATCAACTGACTGACTGACCTAGAACCCATAAAAGTTGACAGAAGCAATATATAATAGCTATGTGTCTGTTTCATATCCTACCCTTTCCTAGTCCCAAATCTAATAGTTTACAATGTGAATTAGAAGACTGCTAAAAGCGAATCAGTTACATTTAAAACTGAGCACAGAATTAAAACAGAGTATCAAAAACTTGGTGTAGCAAGAAAGGGAAGGTGCAAGTAGTGTGGTTAACCCCCATTATACATGCATCTATCAGATTTCAACTACACTTGAAGTAATCTGCCTTCAACGTCAATACTATCCAAATTCACTTATAATGAGAATGTTGCCGTTTGCGATCCCTCACAAATGGGACCAGCCTTCATAAGATTTCACTGAAAAAAATCCCATGGAATATTGCAGACACAATTCTACATTGGGAATGTTTAGCATAAATTCCCGTATGCTGAGCTAGGTGTGCTGTTTTTTTAAAAAAAATATCTTTATTGAGATTTTCTATAACATGATTAAAATCTTTTAAAAAATGTCCTTGAAAGAAAATGGAAAGGAGAAAAAAAGAAAAAGAAGAAGAAAAAAGAGGAAAGGAGCAAAGAAAGGAGAAAAAAAATAATTTTGACTTTTCCTTCATGACTTCCAGAGTATCTTCTGTGAGGTGTCTTCCTTTTCCCTCTTCATCTAGCTAGGTGTGCTGTTATGCAATTCTTGTGTTTAATGTTATGGGTGTGCAGCTGAATTCATAACCAAATGACTACTGCTACAAATTTCCACAGGGACAAACGGGTAAGTGACAAAAGCATATGCACCATGAAAACAAACATGCAGCTCCTTGAACTGAATGCAGAACTGAATGTAGGGGAACTGATGCAAGCATAATATATCAACAAAATACCAGGCAGTGGGACATTTAAATACTGTCCATTCCTTGTTTAGGAAAGGCCGAAATGGATGAAAGTGACACAACTATAATAGGATGGAATCCTATTAATGATATTCACAAGCCTAAGTCTACCCTATATAATAATAATAATAATGCGTGCAGATCTCACCTTACTGGGATCTCCACGCATTATTCTCCGATACATCACACAGTCCTAGACACTTGGGAAGTGTCTGACGTGTGATCCAATTCAACAGCCAGCAGTGTCTGCTGTGGACTCACCTTATGTTTCAAATAATAATAAACTTTCTTTATATCCTGCACCTATCTCCCTGAGGGGACTCAGGGCGGTTGTCCTATGATTGGGTGTGTCTTTTTTTGGTTCTTGTGGAGGTGTCTATTCTCTTCCACAACAACTCAAGCTCCACTCAACTGAGTGCCATTCCACAACAAGTGGAAAGTGCAGAGGATCGAAGTAGCATTTATACTGCATAACTGAATGCAGACCAATGCTCTCTTCTGTTGAGACTGATGGGGAAGTTGTTAATTCTTTCTTCAATTTCCCCTTGAGAAAAAAAGTCCATGGGATGGTGAACAGCCTGTGATGAGACCCCCCAAGCTGGGCAAGGTTGATTGTCAAGTCAAAATCCCTGGTTCAAATACTATGCATCCAATAGATATACAGTGGACCCTTGGTATCTGCTGTGCGTTGGTTCCAGGACCCCTCATGAAACCAAAATTTGTGGATGATTAAATTCTATTATATTCAATGGCATAGTAAAATTGTGCCCCTTATATACAAATCAAGGTTTGCTTTTGCATTTTTTGTGAGAATGTTTTCAGACTGTAGTTATAGAAGTCCATAGAACTCGGTCCTCAAAGTGAGTACGCTATCAGTCAGGCTTGCAAGACGGTACCAAGAATTACAATTCCAGCCAAGAAAAAGTAATGCCTACACCACAGTTAAAGGCAATTGGCATCTGAATTTGTTTTTGTCCCATGGGTGCATATCCCAATTTTATTGGTCACATTGCTTTTTTAGGAGCTCTTTGGTATTACCAATACAATTCACTGTCAAATTAGTAACATCACTTCAAGGGCTCTGGTCAATTGGCAGGCTGAAAAGTTTCCACTTTCTCTTATAACCCACACAACCCAACCTGGACGGCTTTGTCTATAAAGTAACCCAATTATTTTCAATACCACAGACACAAACAAAACAGAAGGAAACTAGGATGGTCCGTGCCCTTTATTAACAAAAAGAAATAAATATTTCAAGTAGAGATCACATACTGTTTTAACAGCATGTGTATAGTGCACAGTGCAACATAATTCAATGCAAGACTCAACTGGAACATTTACAGATGCATTACATGAATGAGAAAAAATAATACATACTGTCCATCTTGCATAGATCTTTCAAGAAGTTGCCTGCTTTCCACCCATTTCCCTTGCTCTCATTTTCAAGGATATAGACTGTCAACACTTTGAACTCTCATATTTACAATATCATTTAATACAGCTCTCTTGAAGAACCACTCACAGGATCCCCAAAGGTTCTTGTGCACATTGTAGAGCATGTTATTTTTTCATTTAAAAACACAGGATAGTTACAAGAATCATAACTTTTTTCTGGGAATGGAGTCTTAACACCTAAGATCATGCCCAATATGCCTGAACGGACAATCAAAAAAATCTCAGAGTGGTGCACAATACACTTAGGAAATCGCTGTATATGAACTGTTTAACATTTTGGAATTATAGCCAGAAAACATCCAGGCCTTCTCACAAGCTACTGTTATTTCTATGTAATTGTGTAGAACAGCTTACATGCAGAAACAGTGGCTGCAATTGCAAAATGAAAATGTTATCTTGTGTCCAAATAGGCTTTCCAGATGTGCACCAAGCAGATCTGATGGCAGAGGTGTCAAACCCTTTTTTGTCGAGGGCCACATCAGCCTTATGGTTGCCTTCAAAGGGCTGTTGAATCCATGAATGAAGAATTAAATTTAAGTGCTTCTTAGTTTTTACCTAGTTTAGGCCCTCAGGTGCTATGGAACAGCAGCTCCCATCACTTTTGATTATCTGCCATGTGGACTGGGGATGATGGGAAGGGCAACCCAACAGCAATTGTGGTTAAGGGACATTTTAAAGTCAGACATCATATCCACAAGCCTTGTATCTAAATTCAAACCCTACTGTCCTGACTAAACAGAACAAAATGCAGCCTTCCAGATGTTACTGAATCACAACTCCCATCAGCTCTGGCCATGGTGTTTAAAGATGAGGAAGACAGGAGTTGTAGTCCAGCATCTGGAGGGCCACATAAAATGACATAGTGGGTCTTGAGTTTGACAGATGTGGTTCATAATATCCACACCCCTCATGGAAATCTACAAATGGTATGTGGCTGTTGCTTCTCCCAACTGTTTCTGAATCATGCCTATAAAAATACAGACTTGTTTCCCATCCCTAGCATGGTCCTCAACCCACATCTAATTCCTGCTGCTTGTTAAGATAGGGAGTCCATATTAGATTTGTGCACCCAACATGAAAAAATGGTATTGCGGATACAATGAATTAGTTTAAATACTGCAGTGGAGCTTTGATCAGCACTTGCAATATTTTGGAAGTGAATAATTTGACTCTAACGGACTCATGAAAACCACTGTTGCAAGCAATCAGTACATAAACATACCAGAGAGCATCATGTTAGTTCAGCTGTAAAAATGCTGTAGGAATGGGAAATGGAGACAACTGCTGGTGGCACTCCTCAGGAACAAACAATCATATGTATTAACTGCTCCCTGACAACACTTTTCCAGCTTTCTCTGGACCTGGACTAAAAAATGTCCTTTGCTCCTGATGAAGCAGGGACCTTGCCTTATGAAGTCTGGAAGGAATCTTTTAGTGAAGCAAGTATGTAGGAAGCACTCCTTCCTTTCATAACTGGGGGACGGGGGGACAGGACGATGCAGAATGATGATATGATGGACCAAGCAGCCCATAATCACTTCTACATGGAAGGCCTTCATTCGGGGAAAAGCATAGCTCTCACAGTCTTATAGTTTGAGAGGAAAAATAATAATAATAATAAAAATTATTTATATACCGCTCTATCTCCCCGAGGGGACTCTGAGCGGTTTCCAAGTAGCATCATCAATACATACAAAGTAAACAACATAACCATAGGATCAACAAAACAATATAAGCATAAAAATTGTCGCCATAACACATAAATATTAAAACTCAATAACCCTATAGAACAAAAAGCCAACTTAATCCTCAATCAAGTGATCAATAATGTCAAACAAGACTTCCTTGCCTACTGCTACTTACCATCCTTTCAATAGTGCTGGTAGTTTCAAAGAGTGCCATCAGCAGTTATCTTCATTCCCCGATCCTACAGCATTTTCATAAAACACAATGCTGTCTGGTAAACACATTCTTGCAACTCAGTGGTTCTCATGGGTTGTAAAGCAGTGGTCCTCAAACTTTTTAAACAGAAGGCCAGCTCACAGTCCCTCAGATTGTTGGAGGGCCAGATTATAATTTGAAAAAGACATGAATGAATTCCTATGCACACTGCACATATCTTATGTGTAGTGCAAAATACACTTAAAAACAATACAATAATTAAAATGAAGAACAATTTTAACAAATACAAACTTATTAGTATTTCAATGGGAAGTGTGGGCCTGCTTTTGGCTGTTGAGATAGGATTGTTGTTGTTGTTGTGTGCTGTCAAGTCGTTTCAGACTTAGGTTCACCCTGAGCGAGGGCCGGTTAAATGACCTTGGAGGGCCGTATCCAGCCCCTGGGCCATAGTTTGAGGATCCCTGTTGTAAAGGATGGAACTATTGCAAAGGGCAAAATAGGGAGTCTGCAACTTTCTGTTTAAAAGGGAGGCAAAAGTGAAACTACAGATTTGCCCTTTCTTCTGTGTGAATGGATGGTATGCCCTACAAGATAGTGTTAAAACCTCCTGTCCACAGTAAACCTTTCCCAAAGCAATCTCTCTTAATTATGGTTGAATCCCTGTGAATGGATTTTGGAGCACACTCGTTTAGTGTAGAGTACCTCCTAGATTTCTTAGGCCTAGTAGACCCTAAGTGGGAATCAAACTCTACAGCTCAGTTAATAATGTATAGAAGCTCTACATTATAAGGAAGATGTGCAATATCAGTAACATGTTTAGAAAGTTGTTTATTTGTTACTAGTCTTCAGAACCTTGAACAACAACTATTTTGTAGTATGTCCCAGAATCAAGTGGTGGGAAACCAGTTTTGAGGGCTAGGCCAGGTTTCCATCCATGCAATCCTTTGTCAGCAAGAAGGTATGGGGTCTTGGTAAAGCCACTACTATCATGATATGACCCAACATAGGCTCCTTGGTTATAGCACTGGCTGGAGATTCCAGTGACTCAACCTTGCTCTCTCTCTTTCTGCTTTCCCATGTGGGGAGACAAAGCTGTGTGGACTCTAGCACTAACCGTATAAGTGTTCTTTTAGTGTACATTAGGAAAAACACCAGAGACCACTCCTGGCTTTTTCGATTGAACTAAGCAAATATTCCCACTGCTGTCTTCATTTTGAGATACAAGCAGGGAATCCTCCCATTTCAGTAATCTATCTAGCTGGGAGGGCCAGGAGCATCGTAAAGATTCCCTTTGCTATTTCTGAGTAGGTCCATGAGTAGAAGTTTCTCTTTTCTACCTCTGCAACTTGAAACTGTGGTAGACACTAACCAAGGCTCTTCTGCATGCAAACTCATATGGAAAGGGTTTCCTGAGGGTACAGAATTGAAAATCAACATCTTAAGGCAGCATTTATTGGGCAGAAAGAAACCATTTTGGGGGAGTAGATTCAAGAAGGAAAATTTTAAAAAATATGCTCCAAACAATGCTGTATTCCAAGTTTTAAATGACAATCCATTTCTTCTTAGCCCCAAAGTGCCATCTCCCCTCTACCTTCTCTGGATAGTGCAGTTATGTCCAAGCCATGGTCCTCGTCTTAAAAGCAACGGCTGCAGTGGATTTTTACAGCTTGAGCTCTCTATCTGGCTTCATGCTAAAAGGCTCAAGTTGCTCACTCTCTGGCAGCATGCTGTTCAGCCTCTCCATCAGAGGGATGGTCAGGTCAATGCCCATCTGGATGCGGCGGAGGATGGCAGACATCTCGTTGACCTTCTGAATCTGCTCTGCATATTTGGCGTATCTTTTCTGGCGCTCCTGCATTAAGCTATAAAGAGTTTCCACCGAAAGGTCCATCTGTTCACAAAAGAAAGGGAAAAGAACCAAGTGTAATTGTGTTAAGTTAAAGATTACTTTCCAGAGGAAAGTGTGACACATTAAAATAAAACTTTATTTATATACCGCTCCATCTCCCCGAGGGGACTCAGAGCGGTTCCCATGTAATATCACAAAACATACAGAGTAAAAACAACATAACGATAAGATTAACAAAATAGAGATATCAGATCGGAGGGTTGCTGTAGTGGGGCTTTTGTACGAGTAGTTTTCATTTTTCCAAAAATGTTAATTTTTCCTGAAGCAGACATTATTTTTCTCCATGGCGTCAAAATTACCGGAAATGTTGCATCTCTGTCCATACCTCTTTGATCCGCTTGACTAACGCATTTTGGTCAAAGGCAACCGCTTCTGCACACTGATGAAGATGTTCTTGGTACCGGAGGCAGAGCTGGAGCACTTGCTGGGAGTCTAGCTTTTCCAGTTTAATGTTTGTAGGAGATGTCTGCCCACTGAGAAGACCTAGAAGAAAGATCAAGAAAGCAGAAAAATTACCAAAACACTTCCCTGCAAAACCAACAAAGAAGATGCAAAGAGTCATATTCACAGCACACTGAACAGTAATGAAACTCAAAGACCCAAATGAAATCCAAAAAATTGTCATAGTGGCAATTCTATGTTCAGCCCAACTGCCTTCTGCTCAGAGAACAACTAAGAGATGCACATCTGCAAATGTATTTGTGCACATTTGAGTTATAACTATTCTGAAGACCCAGATTTACTAATAATGTAGTAAATCTTTCCCTGATTTTTCAATGTGAATTGCAAGTCACAGCTTAGACCAGCAGTTCCCAGTTTTTCAGTCATGGAACCTTTCCGGAGACATTTATTTTCTGTGGAACCTGATTTGATTAAGCAAAATATATACCGTACATACTCAAATATAAGCCGAGTTTTAAAGCCCTTTTTAAGACTGAAAAAGTCCCCCTTGGCTTATAATCGAGTCAAGGTTATTTATTATTTTACTCTGTTATTATTATTGTTTTACATTTATTATTTTACTCTTTATTATTATTATTATTACATTTCCATTATTTTACTCTATTATTATTATTATTATTATTATTATTATTATTACATTTATTATTTTACTCTATTAATGGGGAACTCCTTCACCCTCCTGAGGTGGAGGAGGCTTTTGACGACCCAACAAATCGGTGCTGTGAGTTCGCGCACCATTTTGCAGATGAAGTCGCTCAGATACATCTTGAGTTAGACACCAATTCAAACACAGCGCCAGGGGAGGTGACCAAGGCATCTGCTTGTCCGGTTTTGTGGGATTCCTTCCGGCTTGTTCATCCTGAAGACATAAAGGGGATCCTTGAGGCTGTGAGGGCGACCACGTCGGCTCTGGACCCTTGCCCTTCTTGGCTAATTAAATCGGCCAGAGGTGGATTGATTGATTGATTTGTGTTGATCATAAATGCATCGTTGGAGCAAGGGAATTTTCCATCTGGGTTGAAACAGGCTGTGGTTAGACCACTCCTGAAAAAAGCCTCCCTTGACTCCACGGTCTTGAGCAATTACAGACCAATCTCCAACCTCCCTATTTTGGGCAAGGTGCTGGAGCGGATGGTCACCTCTCAGCTCCAGGGTTTCCTGGATGACATCAACTACATGGATCAGTCACAGTCTGGTTTCAGGCCTGGTCACGGTACTGAGACGGCTTTAGTCGCCTTGGTGGATGACCTCCGCAGGGAACTGGATAGGGGGAGTGTGGCCCTTCTGGTTCTCTTGGATATCTCAGCGGCTTTCGATACCGTCGACCATGGTATCCTTCTGGGATGGCTTTCCGGAATGGGCACGGCTTTGTCATGGCTCCGGTCCTTCCTAGAGTGTCATTCCCAGATGGTGAAGCTGGGAGACACCTGCTCGGACTCCTGGCCTTTGACCTGTGGGGTCCCACAAGGTTCCATTCTGTCTCCCATGCTTTTTAACATCTACATGAAACCACTGGGAGAGGTCATCCGGAGTTTTGGAGTTGGGTGCCATCTCTATGCAGATGACGCGCAACTCTACTACTCTTTTCCACCTAACTCCAAGGAAGCCCCTCAGGTGCTGGACGAGTGCCTGGCCACTGTGTCTATCTGGATGAGGAGGAACAAACTGAAGATTACTCCCGACAAGACAGAGGTTTTATGTAAATATTCAAAAACTTTTAGCCTACTGATGCCTCAATTAATGTAATTAGTATCTATTTTTATTTTGAAATTTACCATTAACTACTGCATTTCCCAACCTTGGTTTATACTCAAGTCAATAAATTTTCCCAGTTTTTTTGTGGTAAAATTAGATGCCTCAGCTTATATTCAGAAAGCCTACAAGAAGGGAGGTATCTGTACCTGTTCCTTTAAAAAGTTCATTATTTTTTGAGTCACACCTGACATACACAATCAATATTCAATCTATATATAACTTATAAATACTCATAAACAAAAAGGCATTACATGAACTTATATAGTAGTTACTAATCTTTAATGTAAGATACACAAGAAACCCTGATATTTACTGTTTCAAATAACAAAGTCTGTATTGACTATAGCAATTTATATCATCCATTGGGTGTCAGTAGATATTGACAGACTTAGTACTATCTTGTAATGGCTTCTAGGAGTGCTCTTCACAACACGTTCTAGGAAAGTGATGCTCCACAGACCAATGCCAACCTGAGAGCCGTCAGTTTCCCAGAACAAAATTAAGCTGTAATCAATGGCACAAATTTGGTATCAAATTGTGGCGCATTGGAAAACAAACAACACATCAAGCAGTTTGAGAAACACCATTTAAGTGGCTGTCAGTATACCAGATGGTCTTTAATTAAACACAAAAGTATCTGGATTAGTTAAGAATCAATTCTCCAATTTTGTCCTTGCAACAGGCAACAACTGAACCACTTGGGAGTTTATCCTTAGTTGCACAGACTTCATAAAATAGAGCAACATTTATGTTTGCACATATGTGAGTGATAACACATAATAATAAGCTGTTGCACCCAAAAATAAACTAGCAAGTTCCTCCCTAAATATCACCTCTTCACTTTGTAAAAAAGAATAACACAACTAGTGACATAAAAGTAGATACAAATGGTGTTTGCTGAACAAAATACAAGTCAACTTTTAATAAAAACACAAAAGAAGTACTCATCTTAGTTCTCTCAACTATTTTCTAGAAGTACATTAACTCTACAGTGCAAAACAAAAGTAGCAGCTGAAGTCAAATAAAAAGAACTGCAATGGTTGTGAAGTTAGGGAAATAACATACCTTTCAGAAGGGGCTGGAAAGTTGGTATTTCCTGCAACTTGATGACATCTGGGTCATTGCTGACATTTCGTGATGACTGAGTCCCTTGTGCCACTACCACGATATCATCCATTTTAGCTCGCTGCTTGGCCGGTGAAGGGGATGCTGGGAAGAAAATATTCAGAATATAAGAGGATAATATAGAGTCAGGTTTGCCCATTACCCGGAATGAAGACGTGATTTATGCAAGGACTGCAATAAAATTCATTGTAAAAACTATACATTTTGCAAAACGCCCATGAAATTATTTCAGAATATTTTCTCTTCTTGTCCTTGACTCTGGAATACTATCCTTTGAGTGTTTTAGGACCAGCTCATATTTGAATGGATATAACCTTAACCCAATAAAATAAAAAATGGTCTTGCAACAAGATTTATCAACTTCGCTGCAGACTATGGAGCAAATGAATGAAGACTATTGAGTCACTCTTTTGGTACTTTTCTCTCTCTCAGAATCTTCGCAGACTGTCAGCAATTTAGGTGAGTCAAAGAGCGGCAAGGCAATAAAAATGCATGTAGAAAAGAGATGTTCTCTCATTTTTATTACCAAGAAATATTTTTAAATATCACTACCAAATATTTGGAACATGTGACTTTAATATTTATACTTGGATGTTTTTAATGCTGTTTTAATGTTTAAATGTTGTTTTATCTCTTATGTTTAATGGTTTTAACATTTTTAATTTATAGTTATGTGTTAATGTTTAGTTATTAAGATTTTTTTCTATATGTATATGGCATTGAATTTTTGCCATTAATATGTTGTAAACCGCTTTGAGTCCCCGTCCCCCCCGGGGTGAGAAAGGGGTATATAAATATAGTAAATAAATAAATACCAAATCAGCAAGAATAGTCTGCTACAACATGAAGCATTTGAACCTTGGGCAGAGCAGACTGCTGTGTGTAATTGTTGACATGCTTTGATCAATTTTTCTCCAAGTGAAAAATTGCGCTCTCAAAAAACTTCTGACTTACAGGATGCCTTTTATCAAATGTAGGGAAGCATTTTAAGATGCAATCCTTCTTTACGCTCTACCACCACCCCAGGTGACACAGTTCATTCTGTCCCTTTAGACTCGGTGGCTTGATGCTTCAGAAAGCCAATTCACACCAGGAACAAACAGGGATAAAGACACTCACTGGATGGGGCGGGGAAAGGGATTGGGGTGACTGCATGTAACATAGGCCCCTTCTACACTGCCATATAAAATCCAGATTATCTGCTTTGAACTGGATTATCTTTCTTCTTTCTTAGGCGATCCCTCGTTGTCCAAGTAGGATTGTCTTCCAAGATTGGTGTACCGGCGGAGGATACGTAAGTGTCTGTGGAGCCCTATTCTTGATCTGCATGTCATCCTGCAGTTTGTTTGTTTGTTTTTTGGTCGTGTCAGGAGTGACTTGAGAAACTGCAATTCTGGTGTGAGAGAATTGGCCCTCTGCAAGGACGTTGCCCAGGGGACGCCCGGATGTTTTGATGTTTTATCGTCCTTGTGGGAGGCTTCTCTCATGTCCCCGCATGAGGAGCTGGAGCTGATAGAGGGAGCTCATCTACTCTCTCACCGGATTTGAACCTGGGACCTGTTGGGTCTGCAGTCCTGCCGGCACAGGGGTTTACCCACTGTGCCACTGGGGGCATCCAGCAGTGAGGGCATTGGTTTCCAGATGGAAGGTGGTCGCAGTCAGGGTTGGCCCTCCATTCGTGCCTCTTCAAACACTGCTGGTCACAGCTGACCTCCAGCTGGAGCGCTCAAGGGCCAGGGCTTCCCAGTTCTCAGTGTCTATGCCAGAGTTTTTAAGGTTGGCTTTGAGCCCATCTTAAAATCTCTTTTCTTTCCCACCAACATTCCATTTTCCAGTCTTGAGTTCAGAGTAGAGCAACTGCTTTGGGAGACGGTGGTCGGGCATCCGGACAACGTGGCTGGTTCAGTGGAGTTGATGGCAAAGGACCATCGCTTCAATGCTGGTTGTCTTTGCTTCTTCCAGCATGCTGACATTTGTCTGTTCATCTGCCCAAGAGATTTGCAGGATTTTCCGGAGGCAGCTCTGATGGAATCTCTGGACTGTAGATAGTCCACGTCTTGCAACTGGATTATACGGCAGTGTAAATGGGGCCCCTTTCTACACTGCCATATAAAACCCAGATTATCTGCTTTGAACTGGATTATATGGCAATGTAAATGGGGTCCCCTTCTACACTATCATATTATTATTATTATTAACTTTATTTGTACCCCGCTAGCATCTCCCGAAGGACTCGATGCGGCTTACAAAGGCCAAGGCCTCAAAACACAACACAACAATACAACACCTAAAGCAAATTAAAAACAGTTAAAGCAATATTAACGACATGCAATAAACAATACATCAATACACTATGAAAACTGGGCCAGGCCGGAGTAAAGGGGTACAGGATTAAAAGTGCTGATGTGACAGGTGGCATGTAAGGATTATAGGGTAAGTGCAGTGTGCAGCAATCTTAGTTCTACTAAAGTGCTTCTGGGACTTGTTATTGGAGATTCGTATTCTGGGAAGGCGCATCGGAACAGCCAGGTCTTCAAGTTCTTTCTAAAGACTGCCAATGTAGGGGCCTGTCTGAGATCTTTTGGGAGGGCGTTCCAGAATCTATATAAAACATAGATTATCTGCTTTGAACTCATATAATCCACTTCAAGACAGATAATGTGGATTATCCGTTCTGACAATCTGGATTATATGGCAGTGTAGAAGGGACCCTAAATTCCGGTCCTTTGCCCCAGCCACTCGTTTTGACGTGGCGAGAGGCATTTGATTTTTTGGGGTCTGTTCCCTCTGGCCAGGTGAGGGGCGCTCTGCCAGGCGGGGGGGCTCAACCAGGGCGCCCACCTGAGGCGTTGTGGTCGTGAGGCCGGCTCTCCGCCTCCGCGCTCTGCTCGGCTCCCATGGCTGGGGAACGAAGGGACCCTTGACGAACCAGTCCGCGGGAGGGCAGGGCAAGCAGCCCTGCCTAGAGAGCCGCTACTCCGCCCAGTCCGGCCAAGGGAACCGCATGGCGTCCCAACCACTGCGCCTCACTCTCTCGGAATAGCCTGTGAAGGCGCTTCCTGCTTCCCAGAGGCCAGCGGCTTCACTTCCGGTTCTGAAAGAGGAGGAGCAGCGGCAGCAGCGAAAAGCCAGGAAGGAGGTGGGCGCGCGCCTGCGCTCGGGCTGCCTGAATGCCGCGCGATCCCTCTGACGTCACTTGTCAGTCGCGAGCCCGACGCGGCTACGCCCCTCCCCCTGAGCCAGTCTCCTCTCAGCAGCTTGCAATGAAACAAGGCCGGAAGAACTCCACGGGATTGAGACGCGAGGAGGCTGACTTCCGGTGCGGTTATCCCGGAAGTAGGGTGGCTGCGCTGGGCTCCAGGCAGGGGGCGGGCTTCCCTTCCTGTGGCGCCTTCTCCCGAGCCACGGAGCCGGGAAAACCTCGGGGAGAAGGAGGAGCAGCCCTCCCAGCCCCTTTGGTACGGCTAGGCCACTTCTCTGGAGGAAGGCCTCACTGTCGCCTGAAGGAACGGTAGGAGCAGAGCCCAACTCCGGGTGGAGGGGGGTGGCCAGCCCTGGGCGCCTAGCCCAGTCTTCCCACAGAGAAGGAGCCGCCCTTGCTTTCCTCCGCCAGGTGCTTCTTTCTGGGCCCTTTCCTTGCCTACCTCAGACCCCTGCTTTCTCAGCCGCCCTGCGTCTCCCTGCTTTCAGTTGGACAGGTTTCAGTCATAACCCGACTGTATTGTCGAAGGCTTTTAGGGCCGGAATCACTGGAATGGTGTGTAGTTTCTGGGCTCTTTTAAACTGTTTGGGGGAGATTCTCACACTACACTTCACAGAGTTACTACCCCACTTTAAATTCTGTGGAATTCTGGAGTTTGTTTCATTAAATAGATTACTGCAACACACTCTACGTGGGGTTGCCTTTGAAGACTGTTCGGAAACTTCAATTAGTCCAGCGGGCGGCAGCTAGATTACTCACCGGAGCATCATACAGGGAGCATACCACCCCTCTGTTATGTCAGCTCCACTGGCTGCCGATCCAGTTCCGAGCACAATTCAAAGTGCTGGTTTTGACCTACAAAACCCTATATGGTTCCGGCCCAGCGTATCTGTCCGAACGCATCTCCTTCTACGTCCCGCCTCGGAGTTTAAGATCTTCTGGGGAGGCACTGCTCTCGGCCCCACCTCTATCACAAGTGAGATTGGTGGGGACGAGGAGCAGGGCCTTCTCGGTGGTGGCCCCTCACCTGTGGAACTCACTCCCTGGGGAAATTAGGTCATCGACATCCCTCCTCTCCTTTAGAAGGAAATTAAAAACATGGATTTGGGACCAGGCCTTCGGGTAATCTGGCGGATAGATAAGGCACAAGCGACGACTAGAATTGATGGATTGGACAATGTGGAATTTGAATTTACGGACTCTGAGCTGATAAACGTTGAGCACTAGATTATTTTTAGGGATTGTGATGTATAATGGATTGTTTTAATTACTGTTTATGTTTTCTTTTTTACCTTGTTGTTGTGCCGGCATCGAATTGTGCCTTTTTGTAAGCCGCCCTGAGTCCCCAGACTCAGGGCGAGAAATAAATAAATAAATAAATTTTAGCTCAGTGAGACCCTGGATCTCTCCGGCTGAGTACTGTCAACAAGTATACAAATTAATTTGTATACTAAAATGATCAAGGGTCTGGAGAACATGCCCTATGAGGAGCGGCTTAAAGAGCTGGGCATGTTTAGCCTGATAAAGAGGATTGTCTGGAGAGGCCCTGCTCTCGATCCCGCCTTCATCACAAATACGGTTGGGCAGGGGCAAGAGACAGGGCCTTCTCAGTGGTGGCCCCTCGGCTATGGAATGCCCTCCCTTGGGATATTAGATCGGCCCCTTCCCTTTTAACATTTCAAAAGCAGGTCAAGACATGGCTCTTTGAGCAAGCCTTTGTAGACACAGTATAACAGACATGGGAGAAAAACGGAATGACTCAACGATGTTATTGGATAATGCTTTTAACTAGGAGACTCAAATTGATATATGTTTTTATTGATATTGATTGTTTTACTTGGTTTTATATTTAAATTGATTGTTTTTAAATTGTATTTTACATTTTTGATATTGACTGTGGGCTGAGAGGGGCAGTATATAAATGAAATAAATAAATAAATAAGGCTGAAAGGAGATATGATAGCCATGTATAAATACGTGAGAGGAGGTCATAGGGAGGAGGGAGCGAACTTGTTTTCTGCTGCCCTGGAGACTAGGATGCGAAACAATGGCTTCAAACTACAAGAAAGGAGATTCCATCTGAACATTAGGAAGAACTTCCTGACTGTGAGAGCCATTCAGCAGTGGAACTCTCTGCCCCAGAGTGTGGTGGAGGCTCCTTCTTTGGAAGCTTTTAAACAGAGGCTGGATGGCCATCTGTCAGTGGTGCTTTGAATGCAATTTTCCTGCTTCTTGGCAGAGGGTTGGACTGGATGGCCCATGAGGTCTCTTCCAACTCTTTGATTTTATGATTCTAAATGGCGACAAAAAACATTCACAACCTAATAGAACTGATGAATATACACACCATCTTTTTCCACAACGAGGAAGGTGGACAGGTGCACAATGTGTTCCTCTTAATGTCAAATTATGATTGTGTCTTCATTAAGAGCAGGGGTATACAGATTGGGGGATTTTTTTTAGCCCAAGCCCTTCAACCTCCCAAATTTAGGGTGGTATAGCATGCCCCTCTCAGTTTTTGTATACTCCGAACTCACTAAGCAATAAGGTTATGGTATTTTTTTTAAAGGAGCAGGATTCTATTTATTTAAGAGGATGTAACAATACAGGCTTAATCATACAGAGACAGCCTTTAAGCACAAGTCACTCTCTTAGCTTTATTTACTGAATTGTTCTGTAACATGAACCTGTTGCCTCACCCAGCGTTCTGAGTCATAAGTGTACGCATTCAATCATGAAAGTGGACCTAGGGCGTTTTTTAAAACATGGGTGCAATGCATCTAAAATTGCTTCCTTTCTTTCCTCTGACTGGGTGTTGTACATTTTTTAAACCCATAATCTTGATGAGAAGAAAGATAAAAATCCAGTTTTTCTTACTGTGAAGCTACATTTGTCAGGGAGAAAGGGATTTTGTGTGCAGTGGTTAAAAGGTCAGCCCCCCCCCCCCCCCCGAGTGCAGAAATCTTTCAATAAAAGCAATAATCTTTCAATAAAAGATTTGGTGAAAATCTGTTGTTCAGTCTTCAAAACTACCAGACTTCTGCTTTTTACACCCAGTCCACTGAACTTTTCTCTTATTTTTGATAAATCATAGATCTAACTGAATGTCAATTTCAGGCAAAACAACAGAGATAGGTTTCTTCACAGCCATAGAGCAGCAAACTTATAGGAGTGACCATTGTGTTTGTTGCTTCATCCAGGCTTCCAAACCCCAAATGTCTTTCATTGTAGCTTATGAGAAATGTCATAATAAAAGATGTTTGGGTTTGATAAACCACTTTTTTTCAGTTGCTTTCAGGTTCTGAAATGGACTCTCTGGACTGTAAACCAGCAAACGAAACAAAGACCATCGAGGTCTTTATACCTGAATCAGGCCTATATTTGTGTCTCACTTTTACTAGTGGCTTTAGCTTTTTAATTTCCATGAGTTAAATTGCCTCAAGCAAGATAGCAACTGCTGAAATAAATGAGAAAGGAAGACAAAGGATTTCTCACAACCCTTGTGAGACTATTCTTCCTTTAAAATTTATTGTACCAGAATGCCTTCCTCTCCAGCTATAGATTATACTTTAGATGGCTCCAGCCAGCACATTGTCAGTAAAATTAGTGCGAAAATATGGATGTGTTCTTGGTCATCATTCTATAAATGTTAATAGCTCACATTAAGAAGGTCTTCTGCTTCCAAGATCACTCATTTGTAGACATTTTTAAAAGATGGCTGGGGGCAATTCCTATTACAAGTGCAGCAAACCAACATGTGGTTGCAACCCCCCCCCCCCAATTTTTTATTATCACAACCCCCTTTCCTTCTGTTATTTCCCTTACAGTTCTTTGATTATGTTGGCACCATCTCAGAGTGAGAGCCCCCATTCTTCTCTACCCCTCCAAAGGATAACTCATGATATTAGTCAGTTTTTTATTTGTGGACTCCGCTAACATGTTCTTGTGCGATTTTCACCAGAATTCCCTTACATTGTCTGATTTATTTTCCAGTTCTTAGTTTAGTTTTTTTTTAGTTGGCTGAGAAAAACAGATAAAGGATGGAAAGAACTTGTACAGTTGTTTAATAATTTAATACTGTTAATCATACTTATTATCATACATTTATTTATTTATTTATTTATTTATTTATTTCAGTTACTTCTACCCCGCCCTTCTCACCCCCGAGGGGGGACTCAGGGCGGCTTACAAAAGAAGGCACAATTCAATGCCTATGTCACATATACATACATATATAAAAGCAATTAAACAGTTAACCGGTTAAAAACATCTGTACATAACACAATAGTAAACTAATCCCATGCTCAGTGTTCAGAGTTCCGTAAATCCATTCCATTCCGTCAATTTCTGCTCATCATCAGGTCTTTCTTTAGCTGCCAGAATGTCCAAATGCCTGGTCCCACATCCAGGTCTTCAGTTTTTTTCTAAATGAAAAAAGGGAAGTCGCTGACATCATCACATAATCACATTTCATGCCTTTTTTCAGCCAAAAATGAGGAGTGTGATATGTGATGAAAAAAATTACACTGCTGGCAGATGATCTGTATACAGTGTAGCTAATGGAGAAAGACAGTCTAGATAGCATTAGAATGATTCCAGGTTTTCCTCTCAGTGTGTCTTGCTGCACTATACAAACAACAGCTTTGTCTGCATCCCGCCTCCTCCCCCCATTAGCTACTTTACTTGGATGAGTTTGAAAGCCCTAAGTTGAAAGGAGTCGGTATTGTCACTTCCTTCAAGCCAGCACTTTTGGACTCATCTAAGTGAAGCACAGTGGCTAAAAGTGGTCAGGTGGGCTGTTGAAGATGCAATAGGAATCGCCTTTAGACCAGTGGTTCTCAACCTGTGGGTCCCCAGATTTTTTGGCCTTCAACTCCCAGAAATCCTAACAGCTAGTAAACTTGCTGGAGTTTCTGGGAGTTATAGATGAAAACTCCTAGGGACCACAGGCTGAGAACCACTGCTATAAATGGTTCTAGACAAACTAAATTTCCCCCACCCATCTTTTTTAAATGCGAGACTGTTTACAGCGGGGAAGTGATCTTTCTCCACTGACTACACTGTATGCAGATCATCTGCCAGCATTACTTTGGGATGATGAATTAAGGTTGTGACAATTATGCAAGAAAAGAGAAAATATTGATTTTGGGGGCCAAAAAAGGGATGTGTGACTAGTACAGGATGGCAACTCTTATATGGTAAAATAGGGTATTTGTGTAGTGTTTCTAAATGTGCAACCCCTGTAGTGTAAATGGGAGAGCAGGGTTTGTGGGAGGACAGCTTGCCTAATGTCACCTCATAAACACATAGTGCAAGTATAACTTAAAGTCACTTTGGTTCTGTGATTCTATGAGTCCTCACACAGTTTGGGTACCATGAAACTTCTCAGTGAACGCCATACTCCATGTGCTTGATTGTTTTCCTTGAAACAGTTTTACCTGGACCTGGAAGTATTACTGAATTCCAATCAAATTGTGATAAAGATCTGCCTGCATTTTCAAAGATAAAGGGAGAGAATTCCACTGATGCCACTTGATATAATATATTATGGAGTGGGAAAAAATTTGTATGACATTAAAAATTAAGTGTCTCTTTTTTTCTTACTAGAACAAGCAATGCAGCCTTCCTAAAACGACTCTGTCCTACATGTGAATGGCTCAGAAGAATCATACCTAAGCAAAAGAAATGTCTCTTTGGATTGCCCAGTGTTTTGTCTATGCGCTGACAGTGGTGGTTTGTGTCATGCTAAAGCCATCTCAAAGCCAAGTTTGTTCTACAGAGAAGATGGAGAACATCACTCTCGATATAAAACGGGCCTTTTCTAAAGGCATCCAGGGGAATGAGCCTATCTTTACTGCCTCTCCAGAAGCTTGTATTAACATTTGCTGTTTGGGAGGAAAAATTGGAGGTAACAATGTTCCTTTTGGGTCCTTATACATTATAGACTACCAACATAGTCCTATACATTTCTTTCTAACTAACACAAAGTTCCAGCTCGTTCAGTGTACAGTATTGCAGATTTAAGTTGACTTTACAATAATTCAGTTCTTTTTCTGCATAGAGCAGGTGATTGTGGTAAGAATTCCATAAAGGTTTTACCAAATTAGAGTTTTCAGAATCCAAGACCAACTCAAGGGCTGTGAGAGCTGCAACAGATACAAAATTGCTTTTTTTTTAGCATGGAAAAGTTAGTTTTGAACTATATCTCCACAAGTTCCCTACCAGCATCATCCAACAGTCAACTTTACTAGTTATAGATGTTGGTATTGCTGCATTTTGACATCAAGCCAGCCTCAACTTATGGCAACCTTATGAATAAGATACTTTCAGAAGCCCCTCTTATCAACAGCCATGCAGAGGTGTTGCAAACCCAGGACCTTAATTCACCCAATCAATGGAATTGTAGTGCAGTCTGACTTTTATTATTGTAATTTAATGCACAACAAGATTGGTACACAGCAAATAACATCTTTATGCTGGCTTAATATAATAAGAATATTAAGAATAGCTTTGGCCATAAGTTCATAACCACAGATGTATTAAGAATATGTTACTTTCTAAAGCATAAGACCTTAAGCTCTTAAAAAGAGCAGTACAAAATAAATCATAGTACTAACACAATACAGATATGCCTACTTTGTACTATGCTTCTTGCAGTAGTACTTTCCTAGTGTCTAGGACTGTGTGATGAATCGGCTAATAATGCATGCAGATCTGAGTGGGGTGGCCTTTTGCAGCTGACAGATGACAATTTTGTTAGTTCAGGCTAAGGTTTTTAGGGACTGCACCCAGTGTGCTGATCGCCACTGGGATCACCTTTACTGGCTTGTGCCAGAGTCTTTGTAGTTCTATCTTTAAATCCTCATGTAAGCTTTTCCTGTTGCTTCTCGTCAGTTCTGTTGTCACCTGGGATTGCAGCATCAGTGATGCATACTTTGTTTTTGTTTTTGTTTTTCACAATCATGAGGTCAGGAGTATTGTGCTCCAAAACTCTTGTCAGTCTGAATTCGTAAGTCCCAGAGTAGTTTGACATGTTCATTTCCTGTAACTTTTTCAGGCTCATGATCCCACCAGCTCTTAGTTGCAGGCAGATGATGATGATGATGATCATGATGATGATGATGATGATGATGATGATTATTATTATTATTTAGTTTCTTTATAGCCTGCTTTTTCTATTGTCATTCATTTTACCAGATATTATCACCATCACCGTCACCTTCCCCCAGTCCGCCCACCCAATGGTCTCATGATAAATCCAAAGTACAACAGCATTGGTTTAGTCATTTTGACATCCAGGTTTGATTTGCTTGTAGACCCTTTGGGGGGGGGGGGGAATCCATGGATTCCTAGAACTTTCTTTGAGCAACATTTCAAATAAGTTTTCATCTTCACTAATATTAATACATAAAAGTATGGAAATACTGATTCTGATTTTGACATTTTTATGCTTGAGAACTTTATATTTTGCACTTTCATGCTTAAAATTTAATCACTAGGTTCTGTTAGTAACATGGTATCATTTGCATCTCCTAAATTGTTTGTGCTTCTTCCTTCAGTTTTCACACCTCCTTCCACTGGGTCTAATCTTGATTTTCTTATGATATGTTATCCATTTACATTAAACAGATAGGGTGATAAAATGCATCCTTACCAATTTATTTATTTCAGTTGCTTCTACCCTGCCCTTCTCACCCCGAAGGGGACTCAGGGCGGCTTACAAAAGCAAGGCACAATTTGATGCCCGCATCACATAACAACAATAAGACAAAATAACATCAATTAACAGAAAACAGCAATTCTAGCAGTATCATCGATTAACAGAAACAACAATTCTTGCAAGGCGAAAACAACCATAAAACCAATACAAACCATTTCTCCTCATTGACAGTCAGCATTTCGCAATCTCATAGTTCAAATTCCAATTCCACAATTGTCAGTCCTGTCAGTCCTATCCATCTAGTTGTCCATATCTAGTTGTCAGATTGCCCGAAGGCCTGGTCCCACAACCAATGGGAAACCATTCCAATTTCCATTTGTGCCCTGACAGTGATATCTTGTTTAAAATATAGATTATGCATCTGGACGGTCAAAGTTGTGGCATTTCAATTTATTTTAGAGTGATCTATCATTTTTCAGGATCCTCATAGTTAAAGATGTTATTCCCTGGTATGCTTCTTACCCAAGTATAATCAAAATGTAGTAGATTCTCAGGTAACCAAAACTCAGGCAACCAGAACTATCAAGCAACTAGCAGAAAATTTAAAAAAAATACTTTAAATAAGAATTAAAATTGATTTTAGCAGAAATTTAATTTTCAATGCAAATTTGCTGCATCATCTACTGATGTAAATCTAAAATCATCCACATCTACTTTTCCTGATCCTGTCCTAGTTACGTCATCATCAGATCCTAATAATCCTGATGAAATGTCTACCCAACAAGCTCTCTACCTCTACTGTAACAATTTTCAGTGTGTATGTGTTTTTTCTAAGTTACTTGAAGTAAAAAAATATGTAAGTGAATTAGATTAAGTTGAAAAGTATATTGACTGCTATATTAGAATATCAGATAGAAGCTCCAGCTGTCATCCTTCTATCTGATAAACATGGAGTTATATGAGACCTCACTTACTTACTTAGGCGATCCCTCATTGGACGAGTAAGATGGTCTTCCATTATGGATTTCCTTGTGGGTCC